TAATATATTTGCTGAAAGTTTTGTAATTTAGTTTCCAACTTCTAACAATGYCTGGTTGAATGTTCGGAGCTGCTATTTTGTTCTAAAGGAGAAATCTCCAGAGAAAATTGCTAAAGTTCAAAGTTTTGATTGAGAGTAAAACTTAGAATGGTAGCTAGCATTTAGCTGTTGATTGAACCATGTCAATACAAAGTATGTAGTGTTGTGTCTATAAGATATATCCTATGAGATAAATACTCCAGCATTGAATTCTCTTTAGTGCAAGCTTAGCTTCAAATTAGCATAAATTTTTACTGTCTTCTTTCGAAAGAGAGTGTTTGCAAATACAATAGGATCTCTGCTGAATAAAAGAATATATTATACGCTTTTGAGGTTAAGGCTGCACAAATAAGATCTCGAAACTGGAGTATTATCTCAATTGGCATCTATAAAATATGCAAATGTACCATCTTACAGCTAGTATAATGTATATATACTTGACAAGATATTAAAGCTAAATCTGCATGTTTGGTTTAAGCATGTATTTGAGTGATTTGAAAATTAATTTTCAACTTTGAATAATTTCTGTAAACCTTTCATTTTTATGGGAATTTTTGTTCAGAGCAAATGCAAAAAAAAGCAGAAAATTGACAATAAAATATAAAATTGACACTGGAGGATTAACATCTTATGATTTTAAACATTAACTTGCATTTGTAATTAATTTTAATTTATAAATAGATGGCAATGGGCTAACATTTGAAAAACAACAATAGTTAATATTCTAATATCAAAATGTTTAAAATCTTTTATGAAACTTTCATATTAAAGACGTTTAAATTAGTTCAGCTAGAAAAACATAACAATAAAAAAATGTACAATTTACATAGACTATATAATGGTTGTTATTAGTTACTGTATATTCTAAATTATTCATGGCTTTGACTAGAACAATTATGCCTAGACCTCATTCTGGTATTTTTTGTGGTGAACACTGCACAGCTTTAAGTGATAAGTCTGAGATCCTCGGCATGCAACTTTAAAGAAATTGAAAACCAAAGCTTTTGTTGGTTTTGCCAGTTCACCAAGTTTCAACTTGTTATTCACAAACATGTCATCTTTAATTTTTTTTTTTCTCTCTCTCAAGAAGAATGTTGGATTAGTCACGTTATGCAKTTTAGTTTCAAAGTTTTGTAGATAATGAATTTATCAGCAAYACATAGCCAAAACYCCACTTTCATTTGTTCAAGAAGTTCTCTTGCTGAGACTGAAGCCCTTCAAATTTCCYAAACCACTGCCTAAAATAAAGGAAAATGTTATTTATGCAACTGAGTCTGAGTTTGCATTAGCTTGWACAACTTCATAAAAAAATATTTAGTACTTATAACAAAAAGTTTAATTTTTTTAAAAGTTTAATTTTTTTATTTAATACCTAAACTCTCTAGATAATTTTAGAAATGGAAATAATATTATTAGGATTGGAGTATTTGAAGGAAAAAAAATCCCTTTCATGTCCCCCCCCAAAAAAAATGCATTCCTGTTCAATTCCCAATTTTTTTTCCCAATTTTCTTATTGCAATTTCTTCCATTCCAAATCATTTAAAATTTTATAATTTAATTGTAAGTTCAATCCTGAAAATTGTATGAAAATGACTTGAAACAAGAAATGAATAATTGACAGAAGTTTSAAATTTTGACATTTCGCTTGTGTATAGCGTCCCAGTTTAGGTTTTGTTTGTGTTTGCGTTATTGGCACGCCTCGACTTCAACAAGTACCTGTCACCGCCGCAGTGCATATTTATACCGACAATAAACCACAATTAGAATTTATAATCGAGTATTATTTTATTCATTTCTTTTGCATTTACTTGCGTGGCATGTAATTTACCGTCTGTTCATATTTTATACGTGGCAAAAATGTGCTGTTCACATGGCGAAAATGCTCAAATTCCCTGCCTATCTTGCGTCATCTGAGTTTTCAAGATGATCAAATATTCTATTTTATTCCGCAGGTTGTGATTGGTCAAAGTGAGATACCACTCTCTCGCTGATTGGCTGGTTGTGTCACGAGTTCCCAGCACATTACCTCGATCAAAACAACAACAAACCATTTCGAACGACTCATCATTCGAAGGTTGCAGCGGAGTCAAGTTCAGTTCAAAGTTTGTTCTATATATATATTTTTTTCTAGTCGATTCTTTAGCCTCTTTAAAGCAATTTTTAAGATTCGTTWGTGCTCATAATGTAAAGAGCGCCTAAGAAATTATGGCCGCGAAGAACGCAAAGCCAGCGAATTCGTCAGATTCRGAAAACGAGTGGACTTTCATTGACACCTACGACGGAACAATCGAGGTAGGTTCTTAATTCTTTTACAGAACATTGCTATATATCCAATACTAACAACAAAAAGCTTGCACTATCTCCTTTGCGAGCGGAATTCGAAACGACTTCGATAGTTTCATGCCGAGCTATCATCTTCAAAYATATGAATGTTTTTATTAGTACGTTTTCTGTTATAAATGCACTACTTGGTTTATGGTTTAAAATTGGCGTTTACTACCTCGAACGAGCAAKTCGGAAAATATGTACAGCAGATATCGAAAGACCTTCGCGCTTGTAAACACATATCACGTGACTCAGTACAAGGTTCAAATGTCGTCAATACATTAATTTTAGTCACTGCMAACGCTAAAATACAGATCTTTCGTTTGTTTTATTTCATTAAGAGGYATTTATTTCCATGTTTTTGGTTTCTATTAATTGGAAATTTTGAAAACAGAAGTTACATAACGCGACCAGCGCCTTATTTGCATACTTCAGAACGTATTGTGTTTGTTTACATATGCAAATTAGGTTAAATTTTTTTTATCGACGTACATAGACGTACGTTCGTACATTCAAAGTGACAATWWAGCCTTCTTCGCTCTATGTTGATATCAACGCTGAACGTTTTCCCTTATAATAATAAGCTTTTTTTGTTCACATACATTTATGGAAGGGTTTTGGAGCTCAAGGTATAAAAAAAAATTCGGAGGGATAGTATTACGGTTGAATAAGTATGAAACAATATGTCCATGCGAGAACAAAAATTATAGACAAAGGATTTTGTTAGACATAATAGCTTGTCGTGGTTTAAAACATAAATAGATCATTATAGACATGTTTTTCTTGAAGTTCTTTCATTTTCTTAACTGTTTTATTTTTTTTTTAATTTATTTCTCTTTTGCTCATATTCTTTTCTTTTCCGTGTTTTATTSAGACGTTCAACTGTCATTTCAGCTTTAAATTCAGCATTGTCATGATAATCGTTTTTTCTTTCTGTTTATTTATTTAATTGTATAGATTTTTTTGCTTATATTATTTGCATTTGAATAAGAGAAGAAAGTGTACAAAAAATAWTATATCTTTCATATAATAATTTGTATGTAAATATATTTATAACTTTTGTACTATTTTAACAGATGGCTGCAGATTATACCTAATCTCTTAAAAAAATTAATACAAATTGGAAATATTGTACTCCATTTCATTATATTTCAAATCCTAAACAATTTGGACTAGACTAGTAATTGTAACAGTACAAAGCAATTATTTAATTGTTTTAAATTGAAATTATTTATTTTTTTCATTCAGACAAGAAAAAATTGTGTTACTTATCGAAAGCCCACATATTCTGAAGCTCTGAAGGGAGTGAGTGAAGAAGAGCTAGCTGAAGTGGAAAGCGAACCAGAGTTTGAAGTCCTTGCAAGCTTTCAGTTCAGGTCCAAAGGAGAGTCATTTGGCATTGGAAGCTCAGCRCCGAAAAATACCAGAAGCCCAAATGTACRAAGAAAAGCTGAAAGCGATGAYGTGATAGGTGATGAGRGCGGAAAATGTCCAGAAGATGACATYTTGCTCATATCAAAACAYGATGACCCAGTTTCTTGTGAAAGTGATGATGATGATGTTGATGTTGATGACATCAAAAGCAATGGAACAGATGATGCCATTGTTGTTGTTGATGAAGGCTTTTCATTTGACACCATAGATGATGATGATGATATGATTGACTTGGGAGAATCTAAATCTACAAATGATTGTATAACAGCTGATGGTGATAATGAAACACAAAGGACATCTTTTATCAACACTAGTCTTAACAACATTTGTATTTATGATGATGASGATGAGGATGATGAACCTAATGATGTCAGCGCCCCWGTAKTGAAACCAGAATGTAGCTCGCCTGTCAACAAATGGCTTCTCTGTATYGATGCCCTTGAATCAAGCAAAGACCTCGCATGGGATAACTTAACCTTCAACTTAATGAACACAATGCCATTAATGATGGCCAGTACAACTGCTGTAGACAATGTATTAAGTGCTGTCAGTCACAACCAGGACAGTGATCATTCTGACAGTAGTTTTGAACCAATCAGCAAAAGTGACACTAGCAGYAATTCATCTTATGACAACCTTGATGAYTTATCRGATGATGGTGATGACTCAGATAACACACTTTTGATTCCAAAATGGTTTTTCAACCCTAACCACAAAATACTCCCTAAAGACGATCCCAGTGATGACAACAGTTTTGAGTTGGTGGATGGAAAGACATTTGAATCAACCATTCCAGGCTGGCTTTATAATGAAAGTCATGAAAGCTGTAAAGRCTTGACTTTAAAAGACACCACAAATGAACTTATCATACCAAAATGGCTTCATGAACCAAATCACAATACTTGTAAARACTTGGMRGACAACTACAATCCTATCATACCAGCATGGTTCTATAATCCAGATCACACCACGTATGATGAAACTATTSAGCCTGTATGTAAYRAGGACAGTGAYTCAGACTGGGTGTACACAGATGAYAGTGACTGTGATGAAGAMGATGATGATGATTCCACTATTGCAATCCCAGACTGGCTGTTCAGTGAAAGGAAGAGCTTAAAGCACCACCAGGAAGACGATAGTTTGTTGTTCTCCCAACTGTTTGTGGATGTCCCAACTTTCATTATCCTGCTTTTCTTGACTACTGCCCTTGGATTTAGCATTGGACATGGTAGGTTTGCATTCCATAATATAATTTGCASTGCTAAAAGTCGTTTGAAAAGAACCATGAGACCCGGGGGGACTCCGGGGTAAAAGTACCGGGGATGCTCGTCGGAAATTTTCAAAAATACCCCTAAAAGATCCTGGAAGTCTTGGGAAAAGGGCGTGGCTGACTGATTTTTAGCCCCTAAGAGACTGCACTACAAATATTGTTACATCATTTCCTATGATAAAATGTATAAAATATTTAATGGCAAAACAAAATGTGATGAAAATCTATATAGATGCGCTCTTTCTCTTCTTTTCCGACACCCTAAGAAATTGCAGAAAATGCAAATTTCCACAAACTCCAAATTGGCACCCTAAAAGATTTACAATCACGAATTTTTACCACTAAAAGATCCGACGAGCATCCCCGGTACTCTTCAAACCATGAGCACCTAAAATATGTCTGGAGTGCTTAAAGTATTTTGTGACTTCAAATTTTTGGTGAAAATAAGACGAGAATCAAACTATTGTTTTAGCAAGATGACAATGTATAAGAAGACTTCTTATGGTTATATGTGAAGTTTATTGGCCTTAACACTGCTTTGATAATATTATTTCAATCGCTACAAACATCCCATACATATTTAAGCTGCTGACGGTTCTTTTTTAAACGACTATACGATCTAACAGCACAAATTTTGCAACATTGTAACTGAACTGCAGTAAATTGGAACTTTAAGTAAAATGATATAGCGGCTTCATTGGTACTGATGAAAATTTATTTATAATCTTTGCCTAACAGTTTTTTTGTCGCTATTTGCAGGTTTGACTGTCTACTTCGGTGCTCAGTCTCTGAATCGAAACACCAAATTACAAGCACCCACAACTCAATCCAACGTATTCCCAAATGATCTCGACCACAGAATGCTTACTGCAGAGGAAATAGCAAAAGTTGACTTACTGAAACTTGAAGATGAGATCTATAGACAAAAAGAAGGCGAGTTGCTTTCATCTCATCTTAGACACGACCTTAATAACATACACAAAAGTCTTAAAGAAAAGCATAATCGCCTGCTAAGAAATTATAAGTCGGCTGARGRTCGGCTTCATATAAGCAAGAGTATGTCCTGGTTTTGGCGTTTAAAATATGACCAAGAGAAACGACGCAATGAGAACTCAAGCTCGGTTGTGTATCTTCAAAMGCAGCTGCAAAGAATAGGTGCTTTATACGAGAAAGAGAAAAAAGTCGCCAATAAATGGCGGCGATACAAGAACACTCGTTTCCCAATAAAGAAGAYAAATAGTTCCCTTGAACGTAATACATCAAAGGAAAATATCTACAATGCCAAAGCGTCTCTAGCCAGCAAATACTGGGTTCAAGCAATCTTATCATCACAATCAATTGATTGGGAAGGTTTCAAGAAAAGATGGACACAGGACCTGAAGAAACTCAAAAGTGAAGTTTGTTCCTCAAGTTCAAGTCTCTCTCTAAAGGGCAAGGCTTCTAAAAGGAATCCATTKKCAGTCAATAAAACTAAACAATTTTGTAAGAAAGGAACTGATTTGGATAAACYGCATAATTTAGCAGACAAAAAGGGTTCGGATTTCATAAAAACCAGCAATATAGGATTTCAAAACACACTGCATCAGAAAGTCTTTGGTCCGCCTGTGCTTTCACCAGTAGGACCTCCGATGGGACCTCCAAGAATGAAGAGGCGTGGACTAAAGCTTGGCCCTATAAGCATTGACAAGATGTCAAAGAAAGGAGAAACTGCTCGTCGTCAAAGGAATGAAAGACTTAAGAAAAAAGAAGCTCAGAGGAAAGCACTTGAAATCAAACTCCAAGTCAAAGAGCTAAAAAACGTCATAGCGGAACTTCGAAGAGAAAGACGTAAAGCAGAAAGAGAAAAGTTTCAACTAGAGGCGAGTTGGCGTAAGCTTAAAAAACAACGTGAACAATTCAAAAAAGAACAGATTCGAAAGAAAAAAAGKGACAAAAAGAAGTTAAAAAATATTAAGTCGAAACTTGAAAGGGCGAAAACAAAACTTAAATCGTGGAAGAACGTTGCCAACGAGTTTAAGAAAAAAGCAGCGAACCTTGAACGTGATGTACAAAAACTCTCTCGCACAAAGAAAACTCAAAAAGACATTAAGAACATTAAGCGTGTCTTAAAACTTGAGAAGAGAAAACTTCGAGAACAGCRTCAAGATTTGAAAACATTGAAACGAAGACTTCGTCAAGAACACCGCAATTACGCGAGAGAAGGATGGAAACTTGCGCAGAAGCAAAAGAAACTTGAGCAAATGACAGTGTCGAAAGMATCTGCAAAGACAACTCGTAAGAAGCAAGAGACGCAAAAGACCAAAACGCCASTGACTCGCCCTAAAGGAGACAAAAGAAAGAAYCGTCGACCCTTTGAAAGCAGGAAGAGTAACAAGAGTAAAAAATCACGTTGGAAACAAAAGGACACATTCCTTAAGTACTGGGAAACATTAGAGAAAACCCTGAAAAACTTCACTCACAGCTTGAAAAAAACAGTCARGGAGAAATCTGAAGGAAAAATCAAAAAGGTGTGGAACAGATTGCAAGAGAAATTTRGAACACTGATCAACTTTAATTGGGCAAAACCAAGAGACTCAAAACCACCATTCAGTACCAAGAAAAAGCACAAGAAGAAGAAACAGAAAACAGAGGCTTCTTTGATTTATGAGAAGGTTCTGGCAGAGCAGCGTGAATTTGATCGACGAAAGCGAAAGGAGTTGGACGAATCAAGAAAGCAAATGAAGTCGAGAAGTCCAACTGTCATTTCAAAGAACAAAGAAAAGCGAAAGATGGCTCCTGAAGCAGTTGTAAGAAAGCGYCGAAAAAGGCAACGCAGGAAATATCAGCGAGAACTAGAACGACTGCAGCAGTGGGCCCTACAGATGAACGAGAAACAAATTGAGCATGAGCGCATGTACAACGACAAAAGACGAGCTGATTGTACCAATGAACGATCCAAAACCAAGTCAAAAAAGAAAGCTATACAAGATGCAGAAAATGATCTGAAGTCCATTAGAAGTGATTATGAGGACTCGATCGATGACTCGAGTAACTTGACAAAYACGCTCATGCTTGTTGTTCAGCCTGAGTTCAATAATCACAAGTACGAAACGTTTACCAAACTTGATGCCGGAACAAAAGAGCATCCTGCAGATACTCAAARYATCATTCATGATATTACGATGGCTCAAATGAAACACGATAAGAGAAAGCAACAGAGCACTGAGCTAACCATCCCTTTCGACGATGAAAGTGCAATGGTACCTTCTACACAAACACCGTCARCTTTAAAAAAGGATTACTCGAATGATGAGCAGGTCTCCAACAAACCAACTCCACCACTTCTTGATCCTTCGTTGTATAACAAGTTTGCCATGTTAGGCATTATAGATTCACATAAAGGAGGCTCCATTGGTCTTCCCATTCCTCCGACAGTTGACCCTTTGGAAATCAAAGATTCTTCAACTAAGCAAGTACGTGAAACACCAAAGACGTGGTATAAGGATAAGACACCGGAATCGTGGATTCCCCCTCCAGGACCTCTGCAGTCAGACAGTTCGTGGCTTTTCCAAAAARTGRCTACTGCCCCAGAAAAGCGCCAGGAAGACACATCTCTGACTAAAAAGAAGGTTGGTCCATCGGAGTCCAGTTACAGTAAAGACAAGGATACCTATGGAAAAGACAATTGGATGTTTTTACGAGCCAGTGGTCGTGCGCATCAGCGGATACTGTACGAGCCTCTCAACAAGCAAAGTGCAAAAGACCGATCCAAAAGGAAATCAAAGAAAACATACTTTTACCGATATGGACATAAAGGCAAAAACAAGGACGGATCGTGGGTTTTTGATCGAGCCAGTGATCGTGAMGTGCAGCGGTTAAACAARGAACCATGGTATATGCGTCGTGCTGAGGGAAGAGAAGGTGACCGAGAWGAGGAAAAGARTACTTGGTTCATTGAACGTGGTTTTGAGCGAGAAGTACAGCGCAGTGAAGAAGAACCACATGRTTATRATGATGATTACGACGATGATGATGATGACGATGACTACTATTATGATGATGATTTTGGACATGATGTTTATGATGACATATCTGCAGCCTGATTGTTCTGATAGTTTATAAGTGTGCCCAGTGTCAGGTAACTGTGTTGTGTTCTGATAAATATTTCGTGGGTTAAAAACACTATAACCTCGACCTCAAGAGCAATGTACCATTTTGGGTAAGGGAGCAAACAAATACCTACGAATTGTTTGTCCCCTATACCCAACGTGGCATTCGAAGTGTGTAGTTCAAAAACACTATTCTTAATGCGATTACAGTAACTACAATAAGTGATGTTCTGACAAACTGCAGAATAATCCAACGTAATGACAAGGAGGCAATGAGTGATAGTTTATCAAAGAAATTATAAGCATCTTTGAAAGACAGCCTTTTCTGTTGTCATGACAAATRACAACGTGTTATTCTGCAGTTTACCATTGGTATAGTAGAAAGCCCATTAACTTGATTTAATTTATTTGGGTTGGGTTGGGTTAGAAAGACGAACTGTTTTGGGTAGACCTCTTTAWTCGAAAGCTTACTTTTTTGATCGAAAACAAGTATGATTTCGATACTATAAGTGAAAATGATCAGAATATGCGTTGTATTACAAAGTCGAAGCAACTATTTATGAAGACAGTAATCTGTAAGACCCAATGACCTCTACCAATAGCGATATGTTGATATTAAAAACGAACGTATATGTACTGTAAGATCTAATAAATTAATKAAGTAACTATAGACACCTCCAAATAACATCGTTATGTATCAGGATAATCTTACACTATATGGACACCTCCATAGTACCAAGCCAAGCTCTCGATGACAAATATTGTTAACCTTAATGTAAACCTCTATTATATCGTCCACTCAATGGCGAACCAGTCTAACCCTACCTAATATTGACATTTCCATTGTGTGACCCATTCATTGTCGTGTCGGGAAAATGTTACYTTATGTGGACAAGTCCCAGAGTCCTCCTCTTCACTCGATGGTCTACCACTCAGGCTAAAATTGTAGCTCAATACCAGTCACTCGATGATGTGTCAAACTAGTCTAATATGAATGTTCCATRATACTACCCAMTTGGCGGTRTACCAGGMCAATCTTCCCATATTTGGATRTTTCAATWGTAGTATCCATTCCATGACGTAYCGAAGCTAACCTTACCTCATGTGGACAATYCCACTACTGCCCACTCAATGGTTTACCACGTCAATATAYATCTTATATTTACAACCAAGAAGTACCACCTCGATGGTGTGCTAGCTTTACCTTACCTGGACAACCCCAGTGGAAGTCAGGTCGAATTTCTTGGATATTTCCATAAAGATATCCAGTCGATGTTGTAGCAAGCTAGGCTGCCTTACCGTATATAGGTAACTTCTCAGTGACATCTACCCGATGGTGTACCAACCAACCTTATCTTTTGGAAATATAGGACCACTTACTCGAAGATGTACTTGGAAAACCTTACTTAATTGGAACACTGACATAGTGATACCCACTAAATGGYGAACAATCCCAATCCCACTACCTTTCATAGGTGATGAGGKTGATTCCACAGTATCGTGTACTCGATGGCATAGTAGGCCAACCTTACCTTATGGAACTACAGAATCACCCACCACATAATGTACTAAGAAAACCTTAATTTAATTGAACATTGCCATATCTTTCATACCTTTCATGGATGGTTCCACAGWACCATCTACTCGACGGTATTTCAGGCCAATAACCTTATTGAACTATAGGACCACTCACTCGATGATGTACTTGGAAAAGCTTACCTCATATGAGCCTGTCCATAATGCTACTSACTCAATKGTATACMAGCCCAACCTYAACTTACATTGGTGCCTACACAGTACCATCTACTCGATGCTATACCAGGCCAACCTTTCCTTACATGGATGGGCTAACAGTACCCTCTAATCAATGGTATGCCACGCCAACCTTACCTAATGAAACTATTGATGTACTTGGAAATACTTACCATGTATGGACAGCTCTATATAGTATTTAATGGTGTAGGAAGCTAACCTTGAGTTATATGGAGATTCCTATRGTACTCCCCACTCGATGGTTTAATAGACTAACCTTACTTAATACCTCTATAGTACCACCCACTTGACCCAGCACATCGGAAAACCCTACTAACAATGGACTCCTCTAAGTAATGCTAACCCGATCGTTTCACATACTAACAGTTGAATACGCTTTAATGTTTACTTCCTGTTATCATTGTATTCTGATAATATTTTCTTATTAATCGAACTACCTTTGTTTTGAGATTTTKCTGAACTCGATCATTGCAGTGAACGAGTTTAACATTTTGTGGATAAGTGTATGTATTCTTGCACTTTCCGTAACACTTTAAAGAAATCATAGGGTCTATATTATTTGGTCTTATACCTAATAACTTGAAGCAAGGATTTAAAAGATAAAAACAGAATGCGGCACAAATTTGCACYCTATAATTTCATTCCAACAATTTGGTAAAATTTGATACGACAATTTAAATCTAGCGGTCACCATTATAAGGGTCTTATAAAACACAAAATATTTTTCACTTTAACCAAATTTTTAGACTTTTTTGCAGTTTTACGTCTTCAAAAAATCAACATACCTTTTTTAATTAAATAAGTTGAAATTAATTGAAAAAAAATGTTATAATGTTATCTTATTGATTGATTGAAGTATAATTGAAGTCCGCTAATAAAATTAAAAGTACATTTTCAAATATTATTACGATTTACTAGTTCGATATAGCATTCAAAAAACTTTTGAAAATTTTGGCCATTTTTATTTTGTCCATGAAGTAATTGAAGAACAGTTGTTAAATTGACGTCCAGAATGGATCGGCGGTGACTTTAAAAACTTAAGAACCTTATTCTATTTACTTTTCGACGTAGCTCGTAAAATCGCTCTAACCTGAAAGCAAAGTATAACCAATAAGCGATTTTATTCGGCAATTACAATGTTTATAAATATTTTATTTCGAGCCTAATTTCTATAATGATAATATTTAAGATATCATATACTAATATAAAACTCACTATAAGAAAACTTTATGGCACGTAACATTGGTAATCCTTTAAAAGTACTTGGTAAAATAGATAGGTGTCTCTAGACTCGATAAGTATGACCAGTAACAGTGGTAATTGTTTAAAAGTACGTGGTAAAATAATGAGGTGTCTCTAGACTAGATAACTATGTCCAGTAATATTGGTAATCGTTTAAAGCGCTTGATAAAATAAAGAGCTGTCTCTAGACTCGATAAGTATGACTACGATTTTACATATGTATCGGTAATGCTGTAATGTAAATCTAAATAGTAGTGTCCGTAATATCAGAGGTGTCCCAATATAGTGGTTTCTTTTAACAAGTTGTCCATAATATAAGAGGTCCATAATATAGAGGTGTTCGTACTATGGAGGTTTCCGTGAAAGGGCTGTGCGAAAAAGTAAAGGTGTTCGTAAGACATTTCGTAAAATTTGATACCTATAATATAAAGGTGTCCATTATAAAGTTTCCTCAAAAGAGATATTCGTAATATAAGATGTTTTCGTAATAAAGAAGTCGTTCTTCGTAACAAAAAGGTGTCCTTAATATGGARGTGCCCATGGAGCTACTCGTAATTGTATTCTACTGTCACTTAAATTAGATTAGGATCTTTAACATCTTATGAATCCGTCTTAAATGAAACCGACTTTTTTCTTCGGATAACCTTCATATGAGTTGCTTTGACTTGAAATAAATGCTTTCAGCCATTTTTTTTTTTTTTTTAAGATTGAGATCTTTAATGGTTGTTAAAAGTGGATTAATGTTTTGATGGCTGATAGATATATTTACTAAAGTTTTCGTTTTGGGGGGTCATTATGAAGTAACAACAAAAAATCTACAAAAAAAAAGAAATACATGGGCTTTTAAGGCTACTTAGGTATGGATTTCCGTGGGTGTATGRTGTTTTGAAAACAAGAAAAAAAGAAAAAAATCACAGTTATTATATAATAAAGAAAAAAATCACAAAATAAACTTTCAAAAAAAGTATAAAATTACAAAGACATTCAGTCAGACCCCTGAAAACCGACCATTTTGTTTGCTATGCCGACACTGAGCATGGTGTTATATTGCTTTGATGAGTCGTCTTAAGATACTTCTTATAATAAATCACACAAAGATATGTGTTCGGATCAGGATAATGCGAAAGAATTGTTATTAATCGATTGAATTTCTGTATTGCTTTGAGATTGAGTTTTGAATATTGTCTTCTTACAGTGGTCAATATGCTAAARCGTTATTGATGGAGTTTATTAAATGGTCATTTTTGAGATTAAAAAAAGTGGTCGCGATAAAGAGGTGGTCGCATTCAACAAATGGTCGGTCTAGGGGGCTCGATTGAYATGTYCAAAAATATTGTTTTTGTTTAATTCGAGAAAATAGTGAATACACGTTGTAATGTGTTTTAAGATTACTCACTTAGATACTATACTATCTACATCGGGGAGCACATCTGTCTCTTTKAAAGTCTTATGGGGACTTTTTTCAAGTAATCTCGTTGACAAAGGCACTATATTGAATCTTGTCGTATGAGGCGTAGCACGGGTAGAGAATATTTATATTGAAAGTACATAGCTAAGTATAAGTCTTTTCTATCTTAATGGATTTAGACATTCCCAATTAAAACTATCTTCGACAATATACCTTTTTAACAATAATTCCGCCATGTTTATGGGTACAAAACGGTGAGATTTCTGACATGGGTTGTTATGGAAACGTTTGTTTATCTCAGATGGGGGTGTTTTCTAATATATAGATATTTTGTAAGTTTAATTAAAGGTGTTCACCTCCTCAAGTTCTCACTGTGCATCCCATAGTTTCTTACAAAATGATGGACATAAGATGGCGGCCTTATTGATAACAAGGTTTATGCTACCTCTAAATCCGAATACAGATAATATTTTGAAAAACGTAAGTCYTTATCTATACGATTTAATTACTCACGCACTCGACTTCGGTAAAAAAGAAAAATATGTTTTGACGTTTGAATAGTGTTATATAATGATGTATTTCGATTTTGCATGGATGAAATGTTATGTATACATGAACTTATTGAAATAAACCACAAAAATGATATAATTTTGAAATGCTTGTGTTGTTCTTGTTTGACCTGATGAAGTGAATATTTCATGGCCTGAAGAGACGAGCAGGCTTTATTTTTTACTCACAAAAAAGATATAAATAAAAACAGCCTGGTTTTCAGTGTGGCTTAAACTCAACCTAAAAGTTACCCAACGCAAGCCCAAACCTTTTCACAAATCCAAAGAGAAGAATCAAAATTTTCCCTTTAAGTTCTTACACTTGCTGGAACTGGTGTGAAAGATGAAACGTAGAATATATCGACCAATGAAATTACTTAGTCTTCCGAACGATTTGTCACATTTCATTTCACAATTATAGACAAAACACTTTTTTTTCGGTACACGGCATTTGTTTCCCATTCACTTCGGACATACGGCTTAGCACTCGACGAATGCATAATATGAATAAAAGTGGGGAATAAGGTATTTTAAGCATTAGCAATGCTCACCGAAGACTTTACAGTAGACTCGTACAGTATTTGACAATAGAGAGCTTAAGCATGACTTACGGCAAACGGCAGAAAAGATCACGTGACCTACTTTTGGGGTTTAACCGTTACAGTTTCAATAGAAGAGTGGGTTATTTTGGGTTGCCATAATCGTGAAAAGTCGCTCTTTCAAACCAYTACGAAAAACACAAAATTTGTATTTCATTGGTTCAGCTCTGCCGTTAGCAGTTTGCCGGAAACGTAATGCTTAAACTCTGTATTTTTCATCGTGGACAGGAATCCCTAAGTATTTTGGTTGGACCCACTCTTAAAGCAACCTTGACCTGGGTCCCCGATTGCATATATTATATAATTTCTTGGAATATCAATATAATGATAGAAACAAGCGAGTTTGATTTTCCGTTTAATGTTCGCGGTCTTCTTTAGTATCTATTTCTATATAATCTAGATCAAGACTTAATCGTCACTTCATTCGACGTCAAAGGAAATGTCCTCAAAGTTAATCTCCACGTATTTGCCTCGACGTTCGTTACTCTTAAGTATGACCTTCACACGAAACGACTTGCAGGATGGTACAATCAGTTTCTGTTGGATTTTATTCTCGCCGTGGTATAGTGTTGTAACATCGTAGCCGTGCTGGTCGTCGTCATCCTGGTCATCGCCGTCGTCGATGTCGTCGTCTTCTGGACTAATTCTGATTCGATATCTAAAACTTTTTGGCGTCATCCCGGTATAGTCAACAAGGGCTTCATACGTAAACATTTCCCTCTCGTAATATTTGGTGGCCCAAGGAGATGGCATTCCGGAACTAATGGCTGCAATCTTGGGTTGAATGACAACTRATTCCCTCGTGAAATCAGACTTTGACAAGGTTTTGCCTCTCATTGTTATCGTGAAGCTATCGCTTTTGAGGGGTGCCTTGGATTCGTAAATGTAGGAATCATCATCATAACTAGATTTACGTACCCATTCATCGGGAAAAGAAAGGGTATTCCTGTCCAGTCGAGTTATGTTCGGGATTCGAATTTTTACTTTGGCTATCTTTCCTGAAGTTAAATTGAAAGAAGGATGTTACTTTTTAAAAAACCTGTTTATAGGTCGTATTCTGTAGGTAAGGAAGATATAACTCACCTATAAGAGGATGACTTTGAATCACATTTCCTCTCATAAACATCAGTTCGAACTTGATGTTCAGCTTTGTATACGAGTTAACCTACAAAAGAAATCAAACACAAATTGGAACTGGATCCTGTGATCTCCATCACTCCACTTTTCATGATTGTTATCACAAAAATGCTTTCATTATAGAAACAGATCTCGATATTGTCGGAATACCATGTTCCGAAGTAACTCTTCRTTTGCTTCTGGTACGTTTGATATTAATGGTGGTAAATARAAGTGGTAAATACTCCATCGACCAGGGACATTTAGGATTCCATATGCTAATCAATTGTTGTGTAACAAGTGTGCACCGACTCAAATGAGATTATKATGATGATACAGAGAAACAAATTACTGGAGGATTTTCTTTCATTATTCCTAACCATTCGCACTTTATGAAAAAACATCTAAAAAAAMCTATATATTAGACAGCCGCACTTTACCTGAAATTTTATTTTTTTAGAAGACTGAGATTTGAATTTCCATTTTCCTTTTAAGGGTCTTAGAATTGTCCATATTAGGCTATCACCACTTCTCTTTTCATGATGCATTTGGACCTTTTTTGGATTAAAGAGTTTCACTTGCGCATCACCCTCAGCCTCAACTTCAAGGGTTCCCTCCTCTGCAATATCGTCGACATCAAACTCGCCATTACTCACGGGGATCTTTTGTCTGTATTTCTTTTTATTTTTAACACGTCCGCTRGTGACTGGAGAAGTGCCTTCAAGACTACTCTTGATCATTCGCTCTATATTCTTCATGGTTGACCTTTTGAAAGTCAGAATAAAGCCTCCGGTAGCCCTTGCGATTACCTTGTAATAGGATTTCGTTTTACGACAGGAATATTGCTTGGACAGGAAAAAACTCACAGGCATCTTATTGATCTGTGCATTATATATGGCGTTCTCCTTGGTAAACTTTCCAAATGGCTTTGGGGGAGCGTTTGTGAATACGTATATAGGAGAGCCATGTTTTGGATGGCCTTTGGTGATCCCTTTGATGATTCCCGCGTAAGTTGGYTGATGACAGTTCTTTTTTTTCTCTGCGTGATACACCCCATTAGCGAGATTGTCAAGAGCTTTTATGAATTCATTGAGTTTCTCAAAAGAGCGAACTTCACCAATAAGACTACCACTGTAATCTGGTTAAAAAGTGACAAATAGTTCAGTACATCGAATCATACATAGTCTTTTATAAAAACGCTGCCGAGATTCAACTTTGTTAGACTCAGGAAGCGAAGAAGAACATGGAAAACAATATCACCCAACATCTCAACTGTTGGGTTAAACATTTTTTCTCTCTTTATGCCCGAGCAGTACATACCTTCCGAGAACGTGGACAAGACATAGTCGACATCGGAGATGTGTTTGTATTCAGCAATGGTTCTAGCAATCTCTGTAGATCTTTTGATTTCTGTCTTCATTTTCCCACTGATGTCCATGACAAAAGTTAAGGTAACTTTGCCATCCACGTTAAGCAGTTTCTATTTATAGGAATTGTAACGCTCAAGATGCCATTGAAAACGTTTTGCCAATTCCAAGAAACAACTGCACATCCAGCAGCATGGCACAAGACGGCAAAGCCGGCAGCACACCGCACACATCACAAGACATCTCTTTCCACTTAGCAGATMAGCACAAAAGGCGGCACTAGACAGAACAGCAATAGACAGCACAGCAACAGACTGGATCTGTACTAACTAGGTAGCACACCAGGAGGCAGCTAAGCATGCAACATATCGCAATTTATAGCAAGCCGCTAGCTTTAGACAACACTGTACAAAACAGCCCAGCTGCGCAGAACTTATACACAGAAAAATCTCAACAAAAGATCAAGACTGGTTAATACAACACACAGATAGCCCACCTCAACATTACTGAAAAATATATGCATGGTGCCACATAAAACAACATAGCATAGCTACCCTTTCTTCTCCCCTAGAGCTGCTAAGCAGACTAGGTATGCACAACACATTACAGCACAAAGACACAGAATCATAAGATACTTGCATTAGCTAAACATGCACGTCGCACTAACGKTTATATTTTGAAGACAAAAATTCAACATAACAGATTGTTAAGGATCAATTCAAAACATGGAAAATTCTAACGCAACATTACTTTGAATCCTTTATCGCCGATTTCATCTTTAAGATCTTGAGCWACTTTCCCATACTTGCAATCTTTCTGTCTAGCAAGGAGTACCCCCAGCAGAGTTCTAGCCCGATTGACATTACTGTATGTATTGCGGTACAGAAGTGCATCTTTAGTCTTATTAATCAGGAAATCACTGCTAGGGTATGGACCAGACAAAGAACTAGCTCTATCTTTAGCTAGGGTAGCAAACAGAATTTGAAGTTAGCTGATTTGTTTTATAATAACCGAAACAATGCTCTTGCGGAATTGGCACTTGGTTGACCAAAGCCCGATAAGCGGTAATACAGGATTAATTCAATCGGTTGTCTTTAGAGTTTATTCAAGATTAGCGCTATTTGAGTTTTAAAAAAAACTGCTCTCGCCTGTCTATTAAAAGCATGTCATGTAAATCAAAAATGGTGTACACGTTTTGGATATCCACACTCTTGCACAAGAAAAGGTCAAAGATCTATCTTTGGCAACTTACAATAATAGCCGATTTGCATTATGGCGTCATTTACTAAAAATTCAAGAATACTTTGCCAACATTCTTTTGTAATACAATTAGTGCCAATTTTCTTAATCTCCAAGGGGATTAACAATCTGAATAACAATGAAAATGCGCAAGGCTCTCTGGTAGGTGCAGTAAAGTTACGCGGACATAATGCAAATGGCCTATTTGTAGAATAGTAATAATAATGAAGAATATCATTATTCAAGTAAGCCTAAAAAAGTATACTCCATATTTACCTTCCATTACTTGTGAAAAAGCCGTTATAAGGTGGTTGTTGATTGCAATGCTTGATGTAGGGTCTAGAATATTCAAGAGCTGCACCAGAACCCCGTCGTAGCTGCACCGCTCTAAAAATATCATGGTAGATATAATAATAAATGGGACAAAAACATCTTAGTTTTAGAACTCCTCAGCAATTCAGAAATCTAAAATATGTGCGAAAGTTTTTTTTGGTTTCATATGATCATCCGCTTTGTAGAAAAAAAATGCTTGGTCCAAAAGTTAATGAAACTGTTTTACTTCAACATTTATACACTAATTTGTACAATATCCACTGATACTGGAAACTAACTTATTATTTTTTAACATACATACATACTTGGGCAGTTAACAGAGTTACAGCTGAGAAGTTTTGGTTGGAAACTACCAGAACAATYCTTTCCACCATACGCCGGCTCTGGGTTGGTGCAGGTTCGAATACTTTTTTGCTGACCATTTTCTCCACAAATACGATTACATGCTGTCCATGGTCCATATTTAGACCATCCTCCATTAACTTTTAATGATGCAAAAAGAAAAATTAACGAACACAAACATCTGTATTGCAATGTGGGGAATCATATTGATTTGTTAAAAAAGTAGGAAAAAAGTGACAGTGAATTGGGCACCGTACGGCGGGAAAAGGAAAGGAGGTGACCAAAGGCGACGTGGAAGCGGAAAAGTATTGGAAAGAAAAGATTGAAAAATTGCCAAAAAACTAGKGGACCGGGACATCTTGGTGAAGGTGCTATGTGCCACTTAGACACCCCAGCAAAGAAGAAGAAGAGATCTAGAATCTGTTTAGATTCCGCTATACACGGACACTCTTTCTCTATCAGCTACTATACTTATACTGGGTTGCCTCTTGTTCATCATCAGCTATTGTAATTAGTTATAAACCACCTACGATTTTGATATTGATTGTATGCAGAATTACTAAAAAATACATARCATCTAAAACTTTTACATGTTACTAGGACAAACCTGGACATGGTTTTGTTACTTTTAAACACTGTTTGCTCGGGTGCGATTTTCGATAAACTTTTCTATGTAGTAGTGTGCAGCTAGGTCCTTCGTCTGGCTCCAAACCCAATTTGTACTGCATACGTGCCCCACATTTACATGGAGACCAATCTACAAGAACAACTTAGCTTTTGATCAATGTCTATAGTGGTAAATTAAAACTGAGTGGGTGAATGCTCTATGGCTAATGCTATGCAGTGAAATAAAAATGAATTTAATTGTCTTCCATAGGCGCGTGCGGGCTCTGGGTACGAGATTGAAACGATATGAAAAAGTAAATAAATGGATGTAGGAAACTAAATTGTGGAAATAACATTACTTGGCATTTTGTAATACACAAAATTCGAATTGACCCCTCCGACTCCAAATCCACCCTTSCAGCTTCTAGCACAGTCGTTCGCACAACCGTATTTATCATATCCATCATCATCAGATCCCCAGCATTCGCGCTTGTTGTGGATTCCAAAGTAGTCCAACTTTCGGCGTTCCGCCCTTTTTCTGCAAGTTTTAAAAATGCGACGATAATTTGTAGTACGGACGTAGCCAAGGAAATACTTGAAAACACGATCATTAGCTTTTTCTTTGTAACAACCAAGTGTGCGCCATTCTGARTATAACACAAAAAACATAAAATGAAAAGGATCTAGTCAGGTTTTAAGATTCAGTTGAACATGCATGTGAGCATAACAATTGCAATGAATTTTCATCCTGTCTCCTGGCCACTTATTGAAACGGCTGTGACTGATCCCACTAGTCACCGGAAAAAAACAAAGAATCCTACATGATCATGTTGTAAGTCCTTCACGTTAAGCATTTATCCAGTTAATTGGCTGATAAGAAGTGTCAATAAGATGACATACAACTCAAAACCGTGTTCAATTTGTTAAACATACAAGGAATGCAATAGTAAAATGCAACAATAAAACCATATGAAGTTCAAACGTACTTGATTTGTGTTTACGAGCCCCTGCTGCAATTATTAAGTAYATCATTCCTATAGCAATTATGGCGTAAAATCTTTGAGTTGCCATGACGAAGGAAAGATGCTGACTAGAAAAAAACATATATAAGAATGACTAGTTAGATTCATTTATAGAGACTTATTGTTGGAATCAATGCGAATGCCTTTTCGATTTCCATATTTCCATGCTGGGGATACATAACATCAAGCCGCCAATGGAACACAACTCGAAGATTGATTGTGCAGACGAATACAGAATGATATAATGATTAATCAAATTATACAGCCTTTTGCAAAAATTATGAGAATTGTCTAAATATCTAAATATCATAATATCAAGTGCATGATGGGTAATCCCGCGCGATGCCCTTAGTCCCTTGTCTTTGTAGTTTAGTTTTGTTTTTGGCGACTTACATATCCGTAGTTCTGAACATTTTCTCGATGTCAACAATTAATTATTCTAGCAAACCCGCGTGTTCCGGACAATATGAATATGGATATGGATATTATGATATTTAGATATTTAGACAATTCTCATAATTTTTGCAAAGGGCTGTAATTACTTATTTATGAATATAGTTTTATAATTTAACTTCGGTTCTGGATAAACACAAGCCAGCGCCGGTGAGATGAATACCACTCGAGCTACAACTATGAGTAAATGCTGCCACGACCAGAAGCGCTACATCTGGATCCGAAAAACAAATAAAATCACCAAAAGTGTCAAAAAACAATAACAACTAAATCCCTAAGAAAACTTGGAGTTCAATTATTAAGCAAACAATATAAATTTCAAGACGTAACATTGACTAATATTTCTCATGTTGGTAGGCGAAAAAAAATTGAGTTTGCCTAATAAAAAATATTCGCAAGGAAAACCAGAATACCAGAACAAAATCAAAGCAAAGGTAAAGCAAATCGACGAATACTATAGTGATCACGTGGGCTTCCAACATAAAGAGCTTAAAGTTACATTATTACCTCATTTCTCCACATTCATTACTGATGAAATTACCCAAAAACTACAAAGTTTGACTTTTGTTTTAGTCACAAATATGTAAAATTTTCGATCTTTGGGTAAATGCTGCCACGTCTAGTAGCGCTACATCTGGCAGCGAAAGACGCAAAACAATCACCGCAAGTGTCAAAAACCAATAATAACAATCGATGTCCCTAGTCCAATTRAATAAAACAATATAAACTTCAAMAAACAGCCAAATAGATATTTACTTAAATTGGATCATCAAAGAATTTGTGGTTTAAACGTATCAACGATTAATTGATACGGTCAATAGACAAAAGATGTTTCATTGAAAGTTTAGTGTGGTTTTAGTGTGTCAAAAAACAATTTTGTTTAAAAAGCAATATCACATGTACCATGAAACAGTCAAATAGTACCCGCTTTAACAAGTCTAAAGGGACAATTTCTTAAAATATCTTAATCTGTCGGAGAGAGAATTTGTGTTTTTGGTACATTTATGTTCAAACCTAGATAACAAAGAAACTGTCCAAGTAAGTCCACAATGAAATTTTGGATTTGTATCTAGAAGCAACAGATGTGTTACAGCTGATGCCTGTAACACATGCCTGTATTATGCAAAAAACACTTTCAAATTGAATTCAAATCATTCTTTGAATGTTGATGTATAAGGAGTGCAAGAATATTAACTTGATTTTAGAGGATGTCAAACAACTGTCCTCCTTTAACGCACAGAACACACAAGATTTGGTTGAGGAAAACTAGTTTCGTCTTTACTAGAGCTTTTCAATTCCTCGATCTACAACTGTTGTGAATTGAAAAGGTTTAGTAAAGTCGAAACTAGTTTTCCTCAACCAAGTCTTTTGTGTTCTGTGCGACAAAGGAGGGATATAAGTATTTTAACATCCTCTAAAATGAAATATCAAGAAATATTAACTTGGGTTCTCGATAAGCACGGGCCAGCACCTTCGTACAATAWTTTTCAAAACGACGAATTTGGAGGATCGTCTTCTTTGCTTGCTTCAACCTTTGTGACTGAACGGTAAGACGAATCAAATTATGATTTACTTTACAAATAGAATTTTAATGTGAACGATTTATGAATACAGTTTTNTTATTTATTTGCGTTGCTGTAGAATCAAGACACAAGACAAATCTAAAGCTATAATAACCACACAAGACGCAATGAAACGCGTTTGGAGTCTTTATTCTCTGCGCCGCAGCAAAACTATGACAGAAGGCATTGTAAGGCTAAATTGGAAATACTGTAACAATAGCACACCCAGTACGCAAATGAACGTGTTTTCTAACGAGTATATTATAAGAGCCTAAACTAAACATCAAAACAAGACGCACTGAAATGACCCGCAAAAACCTTTCTAGAACTCATTAATAATTCATGAACTATTAGTCCAATTAGTATCGAACTATTGGGTCACATGATGGGCCTTTATATCCCGATAAAGCACTGATGTTTTATTAATCAGTTCTATGTGATATTTAAAAAAACGAGTAGGTGTGTTTTATTTAAGGAATAAAAGACGAAATTCCGTGTTTGATACTCTGATCAAAACACGCGGGATGTAGGGAGAGCACGAGAGAAGCGTAGGAAACCACGACGCGTAGCGGAGTGGTTTCCAGCTTTTCGAGTGCTCTCCCTACATCCCAAGTGTTTTGATCAGAGTATCAAACACGAAATTTCGTCTTTTATTTCTTTTCTAAAATTAAAAGAATACGAAAATTGTAAAGAATTCTGAAATACGATATGTGGCTGTCGTCTATCTCTGCAAATCTTGAAGTTAGTAGCTTCTGTAGCTTCTAAAATGACGTTTGATAGCTCTTCTTCTGGGATATCATCCCAGAGGACATCACTTAAATAGGCATTTCTTCGTTCATTGTTCTTGAAAATGAATGATAACAACAACAAATGCAAACGGCGGGTAAAAAGAAATTTTTGACGCGTGCGACCGTGTTTTGATACTGTAATCAAACATGGTTTTCGACCAATCACAGCGCGCGTAGTATCCTAAATATTTTAGAATTTTTTTTTTAATCTTAACATGTTTCACACGGGAAATTATCGATATGTGACAATTACATAAAAACTAGCATGCCAGCTTTCCAGCAACTACAGTTGTCGCATAAAATTTGTCCAATTTTGCTTATCTAAACGGGCAATTAAAAATTGTCACATAAAAATTGCTCGTCTAGACGGGGCTTAATTCAGAGGTCTGAAGTTCAAGACTCAGAGGAGCTGACATTTCTTTAGATTAATTCTTTCTTTGCCAAAAAATAAATAAATTCAATCAAATATAGAACAGGGAACCCGGTAACGGTAAATTAATGAGAAAATTAATAGAAAACAATGAGAATATAAATAGTTCTGAACACAATTAACGCAGGCTCAAGTTTACAGGAAAGTGAGTGACTGAGTGAGTGATTGAGTGAGTGACAGATTCGTCCCCCTCCAATAACTCTTCGATTGCTTCGCAATCTTCGAGTTAAAAATGACACGGAACTATATATCATTGCCACAAGCTGTGATCGAAAAGTAGTTTGTGTTTRACAATAATTTTGTGTTTTGCGATAGTTTTATTGTTGAGTTGTTCTTTACAATTTGAGTTAATCCCACGCGTTAGAACGTTAACTAAGTGGTACTTGTGCAGAAGAAACATGCATTTTAATGTAGAAATGTAGACAACATTTTAGCAACTGAGGAGGTTAATAAACGGAACCGGTATTGAARCTTAATGAACTTTAAGTAAAAACAAAACGACAATAAGACTTTGGATCCAAAAAGGCTTTTCTCATTTACACAAGCAGTTCACTTCCAAAAATAATTAATGGGAACTCTATATCATGAAAGTCTGCATTTCTAAATTTGCTCATAGACATTGTTATCGATCTTGGAAACCAAAACACACACACATAAAATTATATTATATGATAAAAGTAAATATGGAGCCTTGCAGAAGCCGCACCATAGATTTTCTCGGASCTACTCAGACAAAGTTCGAGTTACATAAAGCTCAAGTTGCACAAAAAATGATAAATCCCCTTCCGATCGAGTGATCACGCTCGAGAAAATAAATTGTAACAATTGATATAAATGATAATGTGGTTGGAAATTGTGTACATATTTCATTAATCACTTTAACGGTTAGTGAGGTTAATTGAATCTTGGCTGTTATAAATATCTGCGCTATGATATTGTGAACTTTGAAATTTCCAAGGGTTTTTGAGAACAATTTTTGAGAAAGAAATTTAGAAAATTTGCACCTTTCACCGAATAAAATTTGAGTTGCTTACCTTGTGGGTTTCTTATCTTTGTGAGGGCTATAATCAAAAACACTGACAGAATTTATATGTTATTATCAGTTATTAAGATATTGAACCAATTTCTCTGTAATTTCTCTGTATTAGGCCGCCATAGAGCCCGTCATTTCATCAAAGGGAAGGCGCTGCTGTTCAAAATGTGTTATATACCCAACTGATGCACAAACAATAAATGTGCGTTTGTCTATGATTTTTAATCAAATAACTTAAAACAACTTTATATTGCTGCGCTTTGTGTATCTTTATGATCAAACGTTTACATTATATGATCATTATTTACGGAATTGTATTTGAGTGAATAAATATTATACCAAAAATGCATTCATATTATTGACCAAATTACAACTTCAAGCTTTTTTCTTTTATGGCAAGATTTTTTCGTTAAGTAACGATGTGTTTTCACATTGATTATATATCAACCTATGGGTAACACATTTTTWAAATAAAATGTGGGTAAACTCCGTTTTGAAACAAAGTTTCTAGTGCATCTTGTCCAATCATAAGCACTCAAAACAATAGCCAAAAGATGCTTCTTATTTGCTATGTTCCCCACATGGAATTGTTATTCATATATAAGGAAAGCTTTCATGAAGTCAGAATCAGATATTAAATATAGTATTAAAAAATGCGCTAAATTGTGAAATTTAATATGTTTGATTTTACTGTTTTAACCAATGGGATTGATAGATTATGCAATACACAATTTGCACCTTCTTGCATTCCATTGCCTGCTTCTTACCCTCATTACTTAAATCTTTTTATCGCCCACGAGACAGAACTTTGATATGTTATGCAGCCTTATACAGATCCAACAGTTGTGCCATCAAGGGTATATAGAACRCTCCAAACAGACGTTAATACGACAGCTAGAACAAACAAAAGGGTGTGACTTCATCTGGAAAGATCAGGAGCAAAAATACATGAATGAAACTTTAACGTAATCAGGGCTCACAGTTTGATTAATCTGATGAACAACCTGGAAAAATTCAAAGTGAGATACTTAAAGAGCATTATTTTATTGTTTCATTTACAACTGCAAACGCACCCTGATATTTTCATTCGGCTTTAGAAATGGCAGCAGTATTTTGCATGAGGAGCCGAAGGGGTCTGATCTTCTAAATAACTGTTCTTGTACGAATGTTTTCCTGGGAAAGGGATTTTTGAGCTACATAGTTGACAATGTCACAAGTAAATGTATGGGACCCTTCTTTMTTAATATAAAATGATATAATGTTGTTCCTGATTAACGTTTTTAAGGTCAAAAACGGCTTATTTTTTATGGTTAGGAAATTTTTGTGTTCCTTGCCAAAATACTTAGAAAGTATTCCTTGCCTGGAGAGTTCTTTTTTTCCTGAGATTCTCGTCGGAAACCAGTTGYGACCTACAGCTGGCTTGAACATAAGAACAGACGTATTTCTCCCAGGAACACGTCGGCTCCTGCTAAATGTGACCTTGACAGTTATATCAAAGATGAAAAGTAAATTACATTAAAAATTTGAGAATTATAACAAAATTTAATAACTTGATCTAGTATATGCTGACATTATAATGGATCATGGTACATGTGTACACTGTATATAGACTAAACAGTTGGGAAATTATTATTCACAAATAAGAAATTCAAACATGCACTACATGAACAGTTTATGTATCTCTGTTTGTCAGGAGGAAAGTTGCAGCTTTGTTTTGTGCTTTAAAGACCGAAGAAAGCGATCAAAAGCAAAATTGCTTGAGCATTTTATTATGATTATTCTCACAACCCGAAAATTTCAAAGACTTGGTCTGACAAGACCGTGGGGTCCGACACCTGCTGAAATTAACTCCTGCACACGCCTTTAAGAAATGAAATTCATTCACAACTTATATGTAAAGGCTTTCCGCTAAATAGTCTTCATTGCAATATTGTTAAGCAAGCATTTTTTCTCTCTTTTTATTTATTTATTTTTTGTGACAACATGTTCAGGGATAAAATGCAGCATCCTCATAAAAAAAAATGAATTTTAAAAAACTTAAAAATTGAAAAAATGATTTACAATAACGATGTTGGTAATACAATTAAAACGCTTGAATTCTTACTGGTTAACAAACTCGGTTTCCACGCTATGTAAGAATATGGAGAAACCTTGTAAATCATTGCAAAGTAGKTAAKCAGGGTCAGTACTCATGAAAAACCTCYAAATTCCCTAAAGCTCATTCCTCTCCCYCTGACCCTTTTATCCCAGGCATGWTGAGCTGTTGTCTTGGAAAAATAATCAGTCCCGATGAAATTGCYTGCTTATGCATGCACTCAATCGTCCAATAAGAAACAGGAGTTACAGGCATTACCTAATGTGTACAAATCTTAACGGATTATTTTAGGATTATTTCTCATTTTGATCCTTYGTGTATAGCAGATGAAGGATCAATGTTTCGATTAAATTCGCGCTTCAAAGCTGGTCTTTCAAATCCTACAATCTGACTTGGTCGTGAATACAAAAAACTGGGACCGAGTAAGTCTATTGAAAGCTATGACGTCACAACCTTCCTCTCGAATGTTGCAGTGGAAATGCTGGAGCTTGATCAGAATATGAAATTTCTTTTTAAACATCTCTGTTTACGTATTTATAGACCTTATCGGCTAACGAGTTGCCATGTACGTTATCACCCAACTCAAAGTCCTGCGGGAAAAAGAACCTTTGCTGCCAAAAATTCAACTGTTTAGTAAAAATAAATTGTAAAATGAACAATGAAACTTACTCCCGGGTGGTTTGGATTGGGTTAAAAAGTTTATACCAACGCGTTAGCCGATTAAGTCTATTGACTTAGTTGTCAATGAATGGAAGAAAGCCACATGGACCAGACTCACAAGCAAAGTTAATTTTTCTATATCCACGATTGTTATAGCAATATGGTCGCCATTGTCGCCATAAATCGAATGAAATGAAAAATGCCCCAAACTATGTATCGTTATAGTACGACTTTGAAATTATAGTACGACTTTTATAGTACGAAATTTCAAAATTTCAAAAACGGTGCCATATTGTCGCGCGCGAGTTATGTCTTGGCAATTCATATTATTAATTTCCTCAAAAGATAAATGGCAATTTTGAGGCTCCATAAACTTTATGAACGTGAATGTTGATTTAATTTCCTAACTGAGACTCCAACCAATAATATGAAGGTGGGCTCACAGATAAAAAGATGTGACAGACAGACCGATAAACAGTGCATGTATATAATACAAACCCATATTGTAACTGTCAAGCAATTTCAATATTGAGAATAAAACGATAGCTTGGTAAATATGCCTAAAACACTTATAATTAGGCTATCCAATTCAATGGCACGCTTAAAAAACTTTCACTGTTCGTGTTCCTTCATCAACGTTGCAACATTTTATCAACATATTTCCCAGTTTTGTCAAATTCTTGTCGTCGATGTACTTATCCCTCGGGAAATATATATATGAGAGCGTACATCACAAAAGGGGTCTTTTCTGTGGTAGGGAAAATCCAATCGTCCAAAAGAAGCAATAAGGTTCGAACATTCGAACAACTCGAAATTTTAGGTTAAGATTTAATTGCAACTTCGTCAGTATATCAATTATGTTATTAAGAAAAAGAAATGATCCTGAAAATTTTATTACAATCTCTGCGATGAGTTTCGAGAAAATAAATTTTGAATAAAAATGTAGGTGTTTTTATTTTGCATCGTTTATCCAAATGGCTTCGCTTTTTGGCAAATTAACTTATCAACAAGGATTATCCATAATCACTGTGACTTCTGTGAAAATTTGAGTGCAATTGAATCGAAATTTGCGACGTAGTTGGGGTTAAAAAATACGCGCGAAACGCTATTTATTACGTCGATCGAAACACCTCAAAAGGATCTTAATTCTTTAACCCCCTTTTGTGCTGTCCGTCCTCATGTGCATCCCTCTGGACTAAAGTATATAAGATGATACATTTGCAGTTTTCCTAGTCCATGCAATATAGTAAAACAATCTATATATCTGTTTTAAAATAATCGTTGCAGGTGGTTAATATGAATGCAGTTTTGACAGTTTGTAAAGATATTTGCTTACCAAAGAGAAGCGTCTATTAACCCTCAATTAAARAAGAGCTATAAATAAGCCAGCACTCAAGGGAGTCAAAAACTCCTATAATCCAAGCATGATTATTGATTTGCTCGCGCTATTGCGTCAAGGAACTATTCTGTAAGTTTTAAAAATAAGTTAGAGTTAAGTTCTCTGATAACCAGAAGAGATTCGCCGTTGTGTTCTCTGTGGAATCCCCACAGTARTGAGACTATCTAAGATGATGATGCTTGCTTGGTATATCCTAGTTTTTGGGTGGTTTTACACTCAGAATGGAGCTCGAGGTAATTGCTTCCCTCGCATTTGACTTATGTAGTATGTATGAAGGTTTTATTTTTCATAACAATAAAACTAGCCTGCTATTTCAGAAAATATACAGTGAACATTTTCCTCAAACAGTTCTTGTATTCATTTATGTGGTCTCAATATCCGACTAATTATTATAGGTTGTGTGCCAGTTCACTTTTGCCAAAATTAATTTCAATTAAAAACATTGCTATCTAGCTTTTCTTTCATTGTCTTTAATTTTGATAAGTTTTYGGGCCTTCTTAAGGCCCAGTTCTGTCTTAGCTTTTGAAAATTTTCTCAGAATTTCATGAATTTGTTTGTGTACCTGCCTCTTCTTCTTGTAAGTCTATCATGAAGAAATGAGCTTCTAGCTATAAGAAGAGACACATTTGTGTAAAGGTCATTGTGCTAAATTAAGAAAGACACTGCGAAAAGGCCATTTTATTCGGTTTTCATAACCGAATTTAAAGAACAAAAATGGAGAAAAGGCACAATTTATCATGAAAAAATTTGCTTGTCGATCAACTAATGGTTGCGTCACTGAGTGGTTGTTCAACACAGTAAGTAGTTTGATAAAGTTAAAACCGTCCTTTCACTGTGCAATCATTTTTCGACAGTCAATAAGCCATTTACAACGAGAAATTTCGGTAGATGATTGGATTTGGAATATGACATTGTTTGGTCCCTGTTTTAATATTTCAGGTCAATGTCCAGCATATGCACCCAATATCATGGTAAAACATGGCTGGCGTATGTACGGACATKTTATGACCTGGCTGTATGCTGAAGAGGAGGTTCTTTGTAGACTCAAATGCAATTTGAACGAGAAGTAAGAATGATATGAGATCAAATTATATTAAAAAAATAAAATAATAAATAAATCGCAGTTAGTCGATTCATGACAATTTAATGATTGTTAGTTGACTGYTTGAAGAAAACACATGGATCAGATCACAGAATATTAGCAAAAGGCAAACTCGAGAAGTTCTCGACTTCCATTGTTGATAAGTCGATCTCCGACATGTATAAATAGCCTTTACTTTTATTTGAAGCTAGCCAGAATACCTTGCTTTTAGCCAGCATTCACCTGAATCAAAACTCTCGTTGTGTTCAACGACAGTTTTGGTGCTAACTTTTGCTTTGCGCGTGTATTTATATAATGACAATACTCCGATTTCGATTTCTTGTTTGCTCTGTGTTAGCCTCAAAGCCAAGCAATATATTCTTTTGTTTCATTGATAGCCCAAGAAAACGCATGGAATTTGAAAAGAAAGACAATAGAATTGATTTGAAATCTCACACTTTTATTCTCACAATAAGGAATATTTTGCGCGCAAATGAGGCTAACACAGAGCATTGGAGAATTCGAAACTGGATTATTAATTAACAATGTCTATAATAATTTCTCGATCAATTCAAGGTGCTTAACATTTAATTACGAGGAAAAAACCAAGATATGTGAATTGAACGATGATGATGATGAAAGGCACCTTCAAAAAACTCAAGGTTTCATCTATGTTGATGTGAAGGTTAGAATTATTTGCTACAATGATGAAGTAATACAGAAAAATTTCGCACGTAACATTAAGAAAAAATTGATTAACAACACCTAAATAACACCATAATATTCACTATGTTAATAAAAACATACCCAAACTGAAAAATGAAAAGTGTCTTATTAATAAAGTTAAGAAGTCAATATATTTGTGCTTGTTATAAAGTTGTGACATATTCAGGATATCATCCATTGATAATTTATCTGGATAAACTTTAAGAACACGTGAAGAACACTTCCAGGCTGATTTGTGGATGGAAAACACTTAATACGCAAAGCAAGCATGAACTAAAAAATATGAATTGATATAAATAAGTTTTCCCCCAAAATAACTTTCGAAGCTCTATAACTTTCCATTATTTCTAGTTCATGTGATTTAGAAAAAGAGTGGGTATTGAAGTGTGCTTCAAAACTGATAAGTCTTGTAACGTGGATGTTTTGTAGCAATAATGCATTTCGCGAGTTGTCTTAAAATTCACTATGCAGTATTACAGTATTTTAAGTGATATTCAAAAAACGAGTAGGAGTGTTTTATCAGATATAAAGGTCCATGCATGTGACCAAATAGGCTCATTCTATTGGCCTAGTAGCTCATTAATTATGTATGAGGTTTTGAATTAGTAGTCATGGTAATTTTGAAATAGGCTCATGTAGGCTTTTTCTGTATTAATAATATCAATTCAGATATCGATATATCATATCATGTTTGACAATGATGGTTATAATTTCTGTATTATTTARTAATAATTTAATGTTACTTCATAAAAAAATGCATGTGTGCGTTTTTACTCTTTCAAATAGAAGATAAAAAAGTCTGCAGTTTCTAGCACCAATATTGCTCCAGCTGCAACCAGGCCAGGAAYTGTCGCTAGTACCAGTACCACGCCAACAASTAGCATCAGTACTATTCAAKCATCCAAGACGAGCACTGGTATTAGTACTACCCATGCCACTAGTGCCATTACCGCTCAACCTGCCAGAACAGTTCTTATTAACAGTATTACTCCTACAAGTAGCTATAGTTCAAGTGCTATTCAACCTTTCAGCAGAGTTACTAGTACTAGTGCCATTCCCCCTACAACCAGACCAGGTAGGTAAACAAACATTCAAACAAAAAGATRMACATTCGCCCTCAACATATGTCACTCAGTTGTGAACAGGGTTGGATAAAACATTTTTCCTTAGTGAACTTACACTTCTCATGTTACTCCGTAGWCTTAAAATRTTTTTATCGCTAGKTCCGTGTAAACAAGGAGTTRAAGCTATTGGAATGCAAAATAGGACTATCATTTCTGACCACTACATCACAGMCAGCAAACACAAAGACACCGCAAAACATGCAAGACTGAATGATCCTAAAGGCTGGAAAATGACCTGTACCCCAAATGAACCATGTAGCGGACAATGGTTGCAAGTCAATGTGGGAAAGATTTCAAAGGTAATAGTCATCATAATCGCCCTGTTTGCCAAAACCACGAAAACCCTAGTTTKTTTTTTTTTKTTTTTGTTTTTTTTTTTTTTYTTTTTTTTTTGATGTCATCGCCTTAACGGACGATATATTCATAGCTTCTTAGACTTCCACTATGTACACCCAATCAAAAGATAAAATAGATAGGAAGGCATGCAAGGAAGTTACAAGGGGGATGTAGTTACAGGAGTGGGGTGGGGAAGGGTGCTAAGTCAAAAAATATATAACGTGGTTATATTGAAGTCTGMAAAACAAAAATGTTTGTTTTATTTAGGCTTAATCATTTTTTTCAGAATTTATATTTAATTTGTTTATAGTTGTTATTTCTATAGTCTTGACATCTGACAAKTTGGTGCCTAGCCTCCCTAATCACCCGTACTCCTAAATACGCCCTTAAAAAATTATCATTATTATAATTCTATATTTATTCAGTATGTGTTTATGCAATATACGGTTTTTATGAACCAAAAGATAATTGCTATTGCCACACAAGGCGCTTACAGCACATACACAAAGACTTACACTCTGTCCTACAGCAATGACAGCATTTTCACTACATACACCCAGATCTTTGAAGGGAACGCAGACTGTAATACAACTGTTCATAACGACCTTATACCGGCCATTACAGCAAGATATGTACGAGTTTMTCCTACGGAGGACAATGACAATTCAGGTGTCATAGCGTTGAGAATGGAGCTTTACGAATGCAAAGAATATCAAGGTTAGACCACACAAAAAGTCGCACTATCATCTTTCCTAGTGGTAGTTACTTGCAATTTTTGAGAATAGGGAAGCTGGAGGATGGAGCCAATTTTCCCAGTATCACTTGGTCAAAGTGGACCTTGTATTTGTCTCTTTTATCCAATTTTTCTTTTGATACATAGTCTTATATTATTCCCATATATATTTGGTTTTTCTATTTTTTTGAAATTAAATCATGGAAGATTTAAGTAATTTCTAATTCAGCTGATATCATGTAACAATTTCGAAACATCACTGAAATCTCACATTTTGTCCACCATTTTAAATAACTTTTTAAAAGAGCTACTCTTTCGAATGTCAAGATGATATATATGACGAGTAATAGAGCATATCTTCTCTTAATCAGGAATGTGTTCATATGCTCTTGGGATGCAAAGCAGAATGATTACAAACAGCCAGCTCAATGCTTCGTCTTCAGACGTCTTGAACCGAGGAGAACATTTACCATCAAATGCAAGACTGAATCATGAAGGCAGCGCATGGATGCCTGAGATTGATGACACAACTAACCCATGGCTTCAGATCGATTTACTCCAAGTTAAAAAGATTAATGGCATTGCCACGCAGGGATTCCGAATAGAATGTGTGAAAGAATACAATCTTCAATACAGAAATACCACTATCGAAACCTTCAATGATTATTCTACTGAAGACCTTGAGCCCATGACATTCTCTGGAAATTATGACACCACGAGCATCGTATACAATGCCCTCAATCCTCCAATAGTCGCMCAGATAGTTCGTATTAGACCAACTGCATGGGACCAAAGAATCGCTATGAGGATTGAGTTGTATGGTTGCCCATATAAGGGGTTCTTCCACKAATTAAAATAACATACAGTCAGGACCGAGAGGCGGTCTCATCAGTGGACTTGGGCAAGGCACAACTAATTTAAAATGATCACCTACCTTTAGTAMAAAGAAACTGTCAAATGGACAAAAGACTATGCCATTTTGACGTATCAGTTTTTCTGATTAGTTTGCTACATCTCTAGAGTTTTTTCTTCATTATCGGTAGATTCCATCCCAATGACTGCACTAGTCCAGCGATTTTGTCATCTAGGATTATATTTCGTGCACAATCATATTTCGAATAGTTACTTTCTAGAATCTTTTCAACATTTTTCAAGATAYACTAAGGCATACTTATATATAKCTATGAACCTTCAMGACCTGATAATCATGCTCTGTGCAACTAGTTAATGCCATTAAATATAATGCAAGAGAATAAGAGACATCATAATTCCCCCATAATAACTTTATTGATATGTATCCTTAAGTAATGAATGAATTAAGCCTTTTTAAGCCACACTGAATGGACCATCCTCAAAGAATATTCCATCATCTCTATCTTCTGTATCCTTAATAGTGATCTTCACCGTGAATTTACCACTRGTTGGTGCAGTCAGTCTTTTGGAGATCTGACTATTTACGCYCTTTTCTAGCACTTTATSGTCTTGGTCACCACCATCGCCATGGTCCTTGCCGCTRTCTTTGTCCTCTGAATTGGTTCTGACTTCAACTCGAAACGTCTTCGGTTTGGATCCGGTATATACAATGGAAGCGTTGTACATGAACTCCTTACCCGCRTCAAGATCGATCCAGAGTTTCATATCAGACATGATGGCAGCAATCCTGGGTTGAATGTCGACTTCCCTCGTGAATCTATATCCTGATAAGGTTTCGCCAGTCATTGTGATATTGAAGGTRTTTCTTCCAAGGACTTTTACGGATTCGTAAATAAAGGAGTCATCGGCCTCAGTGTCCAAGTATTTTAATCCAGGAAAGGATAGAGTGCTGCTGTTCAGTCGAGATAAGTTTGGGATAACTATTTTYAGTCTTGCCTTCTCCCCTGAATCAAATAATGAAAAAACCCCTGTTTAACCATAGCAATTTTACACATATTTAATACCTTTTCATTCTCTGGAAAATACATCAAAASAATTTAAAAACTTTGCTTGTTTATCCGCTTAAACAGGAAGTTCCGGTATAAATTGTGGCCAGTACGCGTCATACAGCTTCAYGGCTGCCCCCTATTTCATGGAAAAACTTGGCGAGCGAAGTGCGACTCTCCTAACGAATATTTTGCAAAAAATAAAAACGTTTTACATTACATCCTTAAAAATATCTGCTAAATAACGCAYCAAAATGAATATGAATTACTTTTGAATTTATTGTGGAAAAAAGGCAAAAAACAAAAAAATTGCAACATCCCCACGGTAGCCGACGATCAAATCAACRCACGGAAAAATTTCCGTCATTTTCGCTAACTTCGTCGCGTTTGCACATCCGCGCCGGAAAGCCGAATTTGTAAAGTGAAGTAAAGCACGGTTTATTTTCAGGCTTCTGAAATATATTTCTAGTAGAAAATGCATGTCCCCAAAAAGGGAAGCACGATCACCCTTCACCTAAATATTCAGCCGACGAGGAAGCCAATCATGGAAAACAGATGTAATCCTTTAAATTATAAAGGGGAAAATTTGGAGAGAAGACATGACTTATGATTTTCTTGTCGAGAGGCAGTACTGTTAATCGAAGACAACAAACATCACTGGATAGAAAAAGCAAAAAAAAAAGCTACTGAAATTACCTTCTGGATCTCTAAAAATAACTTCATTTGCTGACAACCAGAATTTGAAAAATCCTGTTGGAGACGGTAARCGAAGGTTCAAATTGGATTCTTGGACCATTTACAGCGATACCTTCATTGGAAAATCTCAAGTTTTGATATGCCAATGGATGTATCTTTGGTTTGTTTAATTTTGTTATTAAGATTTCTGACGTCTTTCTTTTGTGCACAGGCAAGTATGAATAAATATCCTAAATGAGATCCTCTCGGACTCGAAAWCTCATTGGCTATTGAGCTGTATAAGGGCTGGCCAGCCGTCTTCTATACCGGAATGTCATGTTCAAAGACTAATTAGAAAATGCTTGTATTTTACACCTATCAGTGGATGGTCCAGAACGACTTCTTCGCCACCGTGGGTCTTCTCTCTCAGAACAATTGCTCCGAAGGTGATGTCCAGACCTGTGTGAGACAAAACCTAAAAATAGAAGCACAAAATAAAGTTTGTRAAATTGAAGCATCGCGTCCACTTGCATTTCTACGTGACGCTCATTTTTGGGGTAGTCCCTTAMAGTTTTGCAAGATCTTATCTTTGTCTAGCTTGTTTGCTACCTCTTTGTTAAAGAAAAGAAACCAAATATAGACGTCTTAATRTGTACTTGTTTTTAGCGGGGTAAGAACCATGCGATGCACTAAAATTAAGGTTGATCATCATTGTCTGAAATCTACCGATTCGCAGTTAATTTCAGAATAATTATTTACTCTTAAAATCCAGAATCTCTCACATTCAAATGATATGAACTTAAGTATAATTTTGATTTACTTTAAAGTCCTCAACATCTTCAGGATCAAATCTCCATCTTCCTTTTGTGGGTCTCAAAACAGTCCAAATTCGATGGTCATCGTTATCTATTTCATGGGGTTTCTGGTTGTCATTTGGATTGAGCAGTTTGATTCCCTTGTTGTCACTTTTAGCTTCGATTTCGATAGTTCCACCTTGTGCAATATCATCGATAACAAACTCTCCAACGCTTTGCTCAAYGCTTGCTCGTTTGTACTTGCGCTGTCTTTTACCATGTCTTCTAACGATGGTACTAGTACCTATTAGACTTTTCTTGACCATTGATTCAAGTTTTTTTRCAGATTTACCACCACCACCTTTGATCAGCCAAAGAAATCCTCCAGTTGCCCATACGATAGGCTTGTAACGGCCTTTCGTTTTAGTCGAGCAATAAGGCTTCATAACGAAAACATTGACAGGCATCTTGTTTCTCTTTGAGTGATATTTGGCGTTTTCGAAAGTATACTCTCCAAAGGATCTTGGYAAATCGTTTGTGAACACGTATATAGGAGAACCTTGTCTTGGGTAACCTTGTGTTATYCCTCTGATRATGCCGGCATAAGTTGGCTGAAAGCAGTCAGCATCTTTTTTTTCCTCTGGAAACTCGCTGTTACCGAGATTGTCAAGAGCTTTTTCGAATTCAGCAAGGGTTCCATAAGTTTTAACATCACCAATCAGACTGCGATAATCGGTACCTAATAAAACAATAACGAATATCTAAATATCGCACATAATTGTATGAAAAATCATCCACAGTTTGTTTGCGGAGGAATGGCTCTATAAAATATGTATTACGATGACGAAAAGCTTTTCAAATCTTTCTGTTGATATCAATTATGTGCGTATCGTCAACAGCCAGTGATGCTTATTATATCAATATTATCGCTCTGCAATATACGTACCCATTGAGAACGTTGACAAGACATAGTCGATATCCGATTTATAATCATAACTGGCAATTTCTTTGGCGACCGCTATAGCTCTGCCAATTACTCCTTTCATCCTCCTACCGATGTCCACCACAAAGGTTAAAGTCAGCTTATCATCGGCATTTATGAGTTTCTGTTGATTGAAAAAGAAATTCAATGTACTACAATAGCATATAGAAYTAAAATGTCATTAGATATTTCATTTGATAAATCATGGCTTCCATATCATCACATTACCTTGAACCCCTCATTCCCGATCTCATTTTTGAGTTCTTTAGCAATTCCTCCATAATAGCAACCTTTGTGTTGAGCAAGGAGCATCCCAAACAAATTTCTAGCATATTTGACTTTACGGTATGTGCTGACCAGAAGCGAATCTTTAATCTTCTTAATCAAGAAATCCTTTTTTAAGTCTGGATCAATTTTTTTGAAACGTCTATTATCCATAACTGAAGAAGGAACAGAAGAAAATATTGTAGATTTTGACAAAAAAGTTAAAAAGTTAATCAATTGTTTACCTTTCCTTATCTCAGAGAAAGTTGCAATCTGGTGGTTATTGACTACTATTGTAGGGTCGAACACTCTTAGCAGCTGTATCAGGATGCCATCAAAACTGCACGGGTCTAAAAGCAGAAAGAACGAAGTATATAGGAGAATAACGCACTTAGTCGAAGTTTTTCTGCTCGTAAAATGTGATATCATCGAAGGGACTTTAATGAACTTAAAAATTCGAATTATATTTGACTAAACACGTTTCATAGTATTAATGGARGAGGTCATTATATTCAGTGCAGGCAATCATTTGTTACTGTTATATGRCATTTGCTTTTCCATGCTTCTTAGCAGTCTTAGCGGTCTTAGCAGTCTGAGCAAGTCCCTCACAATGCAATGTAATCCARATGTAATTCAGATCATTGGTCTGCAAAATCTGGAAAAGTCGGCTACACATATCTATCAATCTTAGCTTTGATTGGTTGTCACTTTTTGGAGCCTGACTAAATCGAGACTAAAGTGTATATTAGAAACATCGATTAATTTCTAAGACGTCAGGGGCGGATATAATTAAATTGACGGCACTGAATGTTGTTCCCCTACTAAGTCAACTCATGGCAARCAAAATAAAACCATGACGTCTCACTCTGTTGTGGACAAATCTTGTAGTTGTTCTTGTTCATAATTTTATTATAATTGTGATTATTCTATTTAGTGCTAATTCCCACGACAACATGACCAAAGCACACAAAAAAATCTTTCTCGATCCCGAGTTGATTATCATTGATTTAATTTACTTACGTGGGCAGTTTGTAGTGTTGCAACTGCGAATTTGTGAATCTACAACGCAGTCCTTTTCRTCARRGTCGGTGCAAGTACGAGTTCTTTTTTGCTTTCCATTATGGCCGCAAACTTGATCACAAGCTGACCAGGGTCCATATCCAGACAAACCTTGTTCAAGCTTTTCCTCTACGAGCAAATGCATTTTGAAATTCATGTACAAAATAAACAGGCTTATCCGGTTATCGGAACTGATATATGGATAATTAATGTTCATCATGTTTTTGTGTGCAATTAAGTACGTTTGGTCGGAAACAACTAATGTGTGTTGTGCACGATCAAAAAAGTACGACTAAAATGTTTCCTGGCAAAGGGAGTCAATTTCTTTTTTCCGAATGTCAAATTTAAAAAGCTTCTTAAGGKCAACAAATAGAATGTGAACGATTTTTTTAGAGTAATAATACTACAATAATGCTAAAATTTGTCAATGRGAACTGAACAGTTTTCACTTCCACCTCCATTTTTGGAGAATTTCCACACCGGAGACGACAAAAAATGAGAAGAATTCGGACTATGACGATGGAATGAGGACAAAATTCGTATACAACTTTCTTCGTTATGCAAGATCCTTATTTAGCTTTGAAATAAGATTTTGTTACATTAACACCCCAACTACATATGGCTAGATACTCAAATGCTCTCAGAAATGGGAGTTAAGTTCATTCGTGGGTTAAGTCTCTCGACTATCTCATGATGAATTGCGCCGGAAGGGCGAAAAAGAAACTTGACAATATTTGTCTATTAGAGTAGGCTGCCCAGTTGTGTTGCCAGGACATGTTTTACGATAATTAACAAAAGGCATTCCAATAAATAAAAATACAAAAACAAAGAGATAAAACGATATAACTTTTACAAGCAATGACCCAAAACCCACAGAGCATACGTACGCGCTTTGTGTCGAAGTCCGTTTGTATATACGATAATCATTCCTGCCACAAATATAGCGTAAAGTGCGTTCCTTGCCATAGGGGTTGAGAGGAAGATTCTTAACCGTCGATCGATAAAAATCTTAGAATGTCTTCCCACACGCAAACGTTTTGCTGGCCACAGCTGGACTTTCGCATCTACACCAACACGTTGTTTATATATATCACAAGCTATAATTGATATACATACATAAGTGTACATTTTTGAGATCTGAATAAATAGATATTACAATGGCACATAAATACTACTTATTCTATTTATCTATTTTGATAGATTTGAAACCTACTGTTTATTTACCTTTCTAAGCTTTTTCAATCGTCATTTTAACGTAATTCTGTTGTTTCTTTTCTTTGTCTTTACTTTCACTTTTTTTTTTTTCATTTCCACTCTGAATTATTTTTTTCGAAATGTCAGGGTAAATGGATTCCCTTCCCTCAAGTAAGCCAATTGTGGCATTGTTTAAAGAAAAATATCGTTGCCAATCTGAGAAAACTCATGAAAAAAACAAACCTTATTCTTAATCATTCTTGAGAAAATCACTTCTAAACATTCACATGCATGCCTTTGTTTTAAGTGAACAATTTTTAATACCATACTAAACTCTGTTTATACAGCTTTTAAAAAATATAGCTTTTTATATAGAARCAATCTTTTGTTGTTTGCGATATTTTTTATAATGACATATGTCAGGGARGTCCTTTAATAGGAGGTACCTTATAAGGCTTACGAATGATTAAAATGCTGTCATTGAGAAAAAAATAACATTTGCACCTAAGGGGGCCACTCGGACAGGACATTTTTCTAATGTCTTTCCGTAATTAATATGTCTGTTTGATGAGTTTATTTAATGTCTAAAGATCTGTCATACTAATTATGCATTCATCATCTATTTTTTTTTTCTTGTAGTTGAGTAATTTTAGTAATTGAGCTCTCCCGCGATAACCAACTATTGTTTAGTGCCTTTCAATTAACGGAGTTTCTTAAAGTCAAACAGTCTGACTTTTAATTCAAGAAATAAACGTCAGGCAGTCGATTTTGTTTTTGAAAAATCGTTGGAACAACCGTAATTTTAATTTGATTAACAGCACAAGASAAACGAAATAAATAAAGAAAAAAGGACCTGTAAGAAATTAGCAGGGGGGAGAGGATTTGGAAATTGAAAAGTGGGTACTGGGAATAAGGTGGCCTACCAAAGTAAAGGAAGTGAAATTTTCTTACCCTCCCTATATTAGATGGGCAAAATATCGTGACCTTCCCCCTTCCCTTTCACCCATTACCAAAACAATTTATGATTGCCCCCAAGCATCCAGTGAACGGTGCAAGGCCTATAATTGGACCGTTCTTTCTTCATTTTGAAGGGATAAGGATTAGGATATTTGATAAGAAGTTCATTAGGACATTTGATACATCTATTCTAAGTAATGTTCACAGTTATATATTTGATATACTTTGCATCTATGTTGTTGTGGCTGTGTGAACCAAATAAAACACTTTTTTTCTGATCTCTTTATACTGCGAATC